GTAGTAAACGCTAGACAAATATGTGATGTCTACCGCCGCTGCTTTAAGGACCGGGTGGATGGGTCGTGCATGGGATATTTGGGGGGGGGGCGTAGTTGCTGTAGTAGACGCCCAATCTCGTCAAGTGTCCAGCTGTGCGAGGCAGCCTTTCACTACCGACACATCTGGTGTTCACCTGTAATCGTAGGCCTCACAAACCGTTTAGACTGAAAGGAAAACCGAATGAGCCGCCTCAATGCCGTTTAAGCCCGATTGAGTTATACGAGCGGAAACAGGTGTGTCACTGTAAATGAGAAAATAGGCTTCGTTCAAGGTCAGCCGCCACGCCCTATCTGATCGCCAGTAGTCTTGCTGTAGTCTTCACACTGGAACCGTGTGAGCACGAAAAGAAGTTGAGAGCAAATTATGCTCAAAAAGCCCCCTTCATCACCCTTCAGCTCACCGCTCTTTCGGAGGTAGCACTGGCCTTCATTGATGTCAGCGAATTGTATCCGATACGAACAAGAAAAAGATAAAGATTGAGTTCGGGATGATGTGAAGGGTTTGGGTTCGGGCTCGTTTTCATTGTAGGGTTTAGGTTTGGGTTAAAATTAACTTTACAGTTTAGCTTACGTTTAAGACAGGGGAATATGTGTCCCTCCTGAAATGTATCACAGGGTCACCAATTCTAAGTGGGCGGGAATGTTCCTATACCCGTGTCCTGTTTAGACGGCCAAAAAGTTATCCTTACCCTGGATGGCGCAGTAGGGATTTTAAAGGAATTAAAACGGATTGCAACAAAGTCTGAGGGGTCGCCCGCGGGCGTGTGACCTTCGTCTGTAGACGGGTGGTGATGTGTGGTCTTGCCGGCGACAAGTTGCCTCCCAGTCAACTCGACCCTCAATCTGTTGGTGTTACAAGAATCAGAGCATAGAAAGCAGTAATCTGTAGCCGAATATGGCAGAAATGGACCACAGCATTCGGCAGTGCATGTGTGTAAAGGAAAAAGCACAGCAACTTACTGATCGCTACCAATGTCTTCTCGAAGTAGCCAGACGTCTCCTTCTCAACGGCCTTTTGGAGCGATTTCCCGTATTTCTAAAATAAAGAGAAGTATAAGCTATAAAGGCATCGACAGAACCCTACGAAAGTCTTCACTTTCGCACATCAAATAAAACTGTTACAAGTGGCGTTTTTAAAAGCAAAATGAGGTTTCAGAGTATGTTGGTTGTTCGCAGGGTCTGTGGTGAGCATACGAAAAGTATTTCAAAACGCTGAGGAGACAGAAAAAACTTAAGGTCCGTACAGGTGAGCTTTAAAAGGTCTCGACTGCAATTTCCAATATTTAACATGATCGTGCTAGCAACGCGTGGCCAAAAATGACTTCTAGTAGAAAATGAGCAACTGCAAGGGGCCTTTTACTCACCTGCTGGTAGCATTTTGCTATCTCCCGGATTTGTACAAAACTGCGTTGTGTAAGGACTCGAATGAATGTACCCTCATCTGTACCCATGCGTCTGAAATGCAACAAGTAATATTAGAAAATCCTAGCGAGACCTAGCTAGAACTCGCCAGTAAATATCCTGATCGTTGAACCATTTACTTAAAATCTTAACGCATTATCTTACAACTTGGTCAATTTTCTGATAAGGAAGACCACTTTATTGAATAGAAGGACAATAAGCGCTGGTGAGGATTACTTGTATGACCGCCTAAATGGGACACGTGAAAAAGAACCACCCATAATATATGTGGTTTTGCGACAAATTCCGGAGATATTAGGTTTAGGATTAAGGTGAGGGTTAGGACTGAGTTGGGCTTGAGGTTAGGATCAGAGAGGACGTAAGGGTCAGGATCACGGTAATGATTAAGGTTTGGTTTCGTGATAACTATAAGCTTTAGGTAAAGGGTACGATTAGGGTTATATTTTATTTCCGTTTTAAGATCGGTGTTGAGATGAATACACGGGAATAATTACCCATTCTGAAATTTATCGCAAGACCACCTATTTTAAGTAGGAAGGACGGTCATATTCATGTGTCCTTTGTAGGCGGCCATACAAGGAATCTTTACCAATTTCTTGCATATTTCCGTCAGAGAGAAAATTAAAAAAAATTGCCCTCTGTCGAAACTGGAACTCACTTTTCTCCGGCCCTGTAGAGCGCATCAGCATCCGCTGCGGCCTGTTGTGGATTCGCCACCAGGGTCTCCTCACGACAACCCTGAAGCATGGAGACCAGGACGCGCTCCAAATCCCCGCTGGTATCTCCCTTGATATCTTTCTCCATATCTCGTTTGAACACTAAGCGGAAAGGGTGAACAAGTCAAACACTTCTATGCAGGCGCCACTCCTTGTCACCATTGGCAGTAACGGATAACCTGACCCCGAGAGAATGTAACAGGTCGCTGGATAACAATTTTAAAAAGCATTCGCACGCATAAGGCCACTGTCTTCGTTTCTTTCACTCTGTCTGAGGGTTGTCGAGACTAAATAGTTTATCAGTTTCCGCAACGTTGTACACTTTGGAGTACTCCTCAATCTTATGATTCCATAAGTTAAGTTCAAGAACCAAAACCCTACTCGACTATGAAATATTTTAACAGATATTTACAAGTAAAAAAAATAAAACTAATTTAGTGCAGGAAGGAGGGACGACAGAAAACACGTGTAGATTGATACAGTGCGTCTCTGACTTACTCTGCTGCGACTAGGCAGTTTATCAGCCGAAAGGCTTCTCCGTTTTATGGTTCAGTAAGGTAGGTTTAAGAACCCAAACCTTTTTTGACTACGAAATCATCTAACAGGCATTTTCATTCTTCGCTTGCTTTTTTGCAACATCTCCTAACAATGGTTGCGAAAAAATTGTACTTGCTCGAGAGAGGATGGTGAGAATAAGCAGAAGAAGAAAGCGGTGGTGGTGGCGTTGGCGGTGGCGTTGGCGGTGTCAGCCATCGGCATTAGTGACAAGCGAGGGTCGTAAGGACACCTTAGAAAGTACATCGACACACAAAAGTACATCGAAGGTCAGCGATGCGCTTAGGTGACAAGGGTTGGTAGGTGATCTAAGTCAGGTTTAGCTGAAGCGGGTTGATATAGAGTGAAACTGTCATTCGCTCTGTCTCTCCGTCTCCAGCACAATGCAACAGCAACCGCAATAATACGTTCTTTTGCTGTTTGTGGTAGCAGCAGGTCGTAGGGTTTATCTTAGCAGCTACGTCTACTGCACTCTACAGTGTTATCTAACACACACTAACATATCGTCTGCATCAACCCTCTTTGAGAGGACACTTCCAGTACTGCATTTTAG